GTGCCCAGCCCTGCCCAGCCGTACGTACCACGGTGCTGCCGTTGTGCATGTTGTGGGTGTCCTTGTGTGCATGGGCACAGAAGTCGATGCAGGCCGTGACCCCGGAGAAGGGCCGGCCCGCCTGGCAGCCCAGCCGGCAGTCGGGGCCCATGTGCTCATTCTCCACCTGCAAGGACAGTAAACTACAGCTACTTGGGACTCAAAGGGAGGGGCTGGGAGCCCCAGGGCCACCACCCCCCTTGTGACAGAGCGAAGGCAGCCAAGAAGCCACAGTGATCAAAAAGCACGTATTTCCCTATCAAACATGGAACACTTCTGGCTGGATGTCAGCGAGATAATCAGGTCAGCCAGACTCTAAGTGTCTTGAAACAGTGAAACCAATTTATTTACAGTATTATCTCTGAGCCTTTGTCACCTGTGCCCAGCTCAGGCCACAACTGAACTCCCAGTTCAAATCTGGAGGTGCAGTACATTAAAACCTGCCAAATGCCCCTGGAAGAAGCAGCTCCACAGCACCGCAAGGCCTGGGGCTGCTCCTTGGTTTGTGACCAAGCTGCTGCTCAGAGCTGAGTGTCACACACCTACCTGGTTCTGGAAAGCTTCCGGAGCAAGCTTCTTATACACTGGAGCCACATCAGTAGCCAACGTTTGCAAATTGTTTTCCAGAAGTTCCTCCTGCAAAGAAAGGCAACATTCAGTGCTGGAGGTGGCTTTGAAAGCATCTCAGCCAGGTGAGAGATGCCTGACAGCTCAGCCTCTGCCTCCTGTTTTATTATTCTGACTTCTGTCCTGCTGCCCTTTGTCACTAGCCATGAATATCTACTTTTGCATGACCAAAACACCAAAATAGTTAGATATAAATCAACCAAATAACAGTGGAGGGTATCTGCTGGGGCAAAGAAACCCAACACAGGGGAACTCATTTCTGCATCAGTTCTGATATGTGTCAAGGAGGGAGGTATGTTCTACACAAAACCAGGGGACAAAACTCATACCCCATTGTGAGCGGGGATGGAGCCTCAAGTCTTCTTTTAGTGTTTTGCTTATGGGCCTTAATCCACATTGACACAGCTCTGCTAAAAGAAGCCCAGGTTTCCACTACATTTCCTTTAACTGTACGAGAAACTGCCAATTGCATTTAACACTCATTCCAGCTCTTAGGTCTTTTCTCAGAGGCACATTTCTCATACTGCAACAGAACTTTCACCAGGAACAGCTGTTAACTCTTTTGTTCTTTGGAGGTGCAAAACTCAGGACTTTATGGAAATACCTACAAGATTTGGAAATAATATTCCTTTCCTTAGGCAAAGCCATATAAACTCAGAATTAGCTAGGTGGGCTTGTATGGCAACATCACATTTAAATTCTTATTTATAGATACAATCTCCACATTCTTATCCTAAGTTTTTGTTTTTCCAGAAAAATCACCAACT